CGACTAATATCCGCACCATATCCTTCTGTCAGCACTGCTTAACCTGCCCGCCTATACACCGCACACCTCGAAAGTACGGGGACGGAGACTAAGAAAATGCGGCCTTTGTAGCTGGGTCGAATTAGGCGATTCTGCTCATGCTACGATAAGCCTTACTGTCTAGGGAAAAGATGGCCAGTGATATACACTGAAAATGCCTATGTGACCGTAGTTACAAACTTGATCTTGGCTGCTGTTGTATTTTTAGGCAACAAACAAAAATTTGTTCGGAGCATGTAAACACCTCCAGTTGATACTAGGCATGCGGAATCTACATTTTACGGAGAAACTGGGACCGAAATAATCTGAGTATCTGATGTGATGTAACGTCAGGAATTCGGTTGCATTTTGGGTGGGAGTAGATTGGTCTTCGGCAACCGCTTTACTCGGCGGGGTTTCTGAATGTTCTAGATGACAGCTGATTGATGGCGAAATTTCCAGCAGCAGTGGCTTACGCATTGGCATGGTGAGTGGTGAAGGTTTATGGTTGGGGGGCTAAGCTGCCACATTCATACGCCACACAGAAGAATTACGATGGACGTGTCATCGAGCGTTCGAATAGACTTAAAATTAACTGTTATGAAAGGGATAAGCAAATTTTGCGCAGTAGTATTGTTTAACTGCACCAGTGGCCCGTATGAACGTGGCTTGATCAACAGTTTGTCATTATGGCGTTGCAGGACACGCAATGCAGTTGCAGTACGGGATGAAGCCACCGGTGCTAGACAGTGAGATGAAGCAACACCTGATAACTCACTGACTGCACATTCTGCAAAGTAATGCTCACAAGCATCCGAGGCAAAATCAAGTCTGCTTTTTCCACTTTCACATTCAGTTTATTCCAGTCTTCCACAGTAGCTGGGACTATGCCCTTTCTTTCCAGCTTCTCTTTAGGTGTTCCTTTTAATGAGCCTTTTAGTAAGCGGTTACCAGGGGGAGTTTGGACGCCTGCATAAGTCACTTCCATAGGTCGGTTCGGGCTAATCGAGTAACTCAAGTTTCGTTAAAGGAGCAGGCAAAAATTCTGATATCAGTTAGAGGCAGTCTGTCCAGAAGTGGAAAAATGCAATCACCATATACAATTCTTTTCTTTGGAAATTCCGATATTTGCTTGCTTATCTGCGACTAATTTCATGTTGAGGTGGAGAAGATGCCTCCAAATTAATCGAAGCGTCAAGGATGGGTCTGAAAATCATTCATCTGTAATGAGCGCCCGTTAATACTGCTGCCGTTGCTCCATGGCAGAGCCTTCACTTGAATTATGTATTTAAAATAGTTCATTTCGCTTGGCTGATACCAGATGATAGCAGCCCATCTGCTGAGCTGTTTGAAACTCAGTTTGATTCGATACCATCGTTCGTCATATGACCATCTCAACGGATTTGTGATAGTATCCAGAAGACATTTGACATACATGCATTCAGACATTCAGACTGCATGGATTATTGATTTACTGAAGAATTAATGAGCACGCATAAGAAGCTGCGTAAATAAGTAACACGGTTGCTTAAATCCGGTAGTCAGTCGATTTTGATATCAACTGATAAAGTTGGCATGCAATCAGTTGCGCAGGAAAAAAACGAAAATATTATTGGCAAATGAGACCTAATTTGGGCCGTTAATTATGCAGGCGTTCCTCTACCATGTAGATTCAGTTTACTAGAAATCGCTGAGTGGATATTACATGTATCCAAAATTATTTTTGGACTCAAATTTGTGAAGTATTGAACCTTATCCCTCGTTCCCAGTCCTATTCTAATCGAAGATCAAGTCGCAGATGAACTAAATGTCTTCCCAAATGCAATTCCCATAATGATGCCTGTTTTCTAATTTTCATGCTCCCTTTCAGTTTGCGGCACAACATTTATTTGTGTTGTAAAATGAGGGACTTACCTTTGGTATTCCACATGCCGACCGTAAGCGAAGAGGTCGCGGAACCTCGCGCGTTTACATCAACTTGCCAAAAAGCGTTTCACTTGTGTTTCAGGTATCAGTTAATGAAGTTTACACATTTGGATTGCGCAACAAAAATGCTCGAGGTTAAGTCAGCACTGAGAAACTGTGAAATTTGTCTTTGCACCTTGCCGACCCGATTTAAGAAGCTTCATCATCGTGGATCTTCAGTGAGAAGGTAACGCATTGTATGTAGGTGGCACAAAATAAATAAACGAAAGCTGGTACTCCGCGGACGGCCCACTGGACGCTTGGATACTTGATTTGGGTACATAATGGTTCCATCCTACCAAAAGCCATCAATGTTTAGTGGTAGTCGGGCTTCTGTGATGCAATGAAACTGCAGGATACAGAGGCTGGAACTCGGTTCCCAAATGTTGCCGAGAAAGTCAATGGAGAGCAGCCCGATTAACACAGTAAAACCCTCCGTCGGGAGAAATTGCATTGTGAGGTAGACCGGAGGTAAATTCCTTTCCTTCCACCGGTGGCTACATAGCTTCTGCGCCGTGTCTAATACCCCTAAATTGCTTGGTTGTTCCCGAGACGGTCTCCGTTTAATTTGATTGGTCACCTGGGAGCTGAGTTGCGTCGTGTCCTCAGCACTAGTATCTGGTTCTATTGGCAAAATGGAGAGGGTTCCTGTTTGAAGGCCCGGACGCGGAACGTGTTTACTGTGCAGTATAGCTGTCACATGTATTCACTAATTGACCGTGGATTTGTGGAGTTTGATTGACCTCCTGACCTGTGCGCGTGTGTCTATTTATTTTGTCTATTTATTTTGTGCAGTGCAGAGAGAGGGGTGTGCTTCTTGTTTGAGAGGTGCACAAATTTAAAGGCAACCTGACCTTATGTGGTTGAAGGTTGTAAGCCTGGCGCGTGACGCCGGTGGTAGCCGCGCAAACAAAATGGATACGGAATTTCAGTGTACTTGTTGTTGGTCAAGGTAGAAACTTGGACAGAATTTTGTCACGTGACTTGAGTATTTGTGACGCGTGGTCAAGTGATGCGGATGTACCAAGCAAATTAAGAGAAGTTGGTTGAAGAGAAAAATGGGTGAGTGGTACAGTTAGCTGGGTGCCTTTACTTAGATCGTTCTGCTTCTCCATTGTGATAGGCAGCATCCTCGTTGTGTTTACCCCCAAAATGAACTCGAGATGTTTAAATGTTGTTGTCGTTGGAACGTGAGTACCCGAAGGTGATGCAAGACGACACTAAAAATCAAAATATGTTTTCACTAACCTGTTCGACGACAAGGATTGTACCGCTTTGATGGCCATAGCGTTTGTAATATAACGCTGTCTAATTTTGGTTTCAATGAAAACGGGAACTTCGTGAAAACCGACGTCTTTTGTCTGAGACCACATGCAATCTAAAGGACGTGTAAGTAGAACCAAAATCTGGTTGCTCTGTAGGATTTCTAATATGTAGTATTGGTCGAATGCGGCAAAATTCAAAGATTAATTTGAGCGCACTTAACTTCATGCAGGTTAAGCTGTTCTTTAAGTAGGACAATCTATGCTACAATTCTTCTAAACAGAGTTCTCATTTTATGTACAAGGAGCATCCTAAGTCAGTTGCAGAGCCACCATTATTACTGGCAAAATATCCAGTCAAGAATCGCTGGTCATTGTTGGTCCACTTGCCTCATCACATTATCTCACTGCAAGGCTCTTGCTGGAGGCACAAAAGTCTGAGGTGAAGGTAAACTGGAATCAGGCCTGATATAACGAAACCCACTACGTGAAAAATCGGCCTCTGATGTACGGATGGACAGCTAGTGTTAAAGTGCAAATGGTGTAAACTTAGCCATTGATCGTAGGCTACGAATACCGAGAAAAAGAGTGGACCATGACGGAAATGTTAGTCGCCTGACCTCAAAAAAAAACAGTGCACCCATTTTGGGGCAGTATGGTTATGGATTCACGGCTTTTAGCCGAGATAGCCCTGGTCGTTTCTTTGAAAGACGGTTTCACCGATCAACACTTCTTTCTTCTTGTCATTAGCGTCTCAAGATGACCACATTTACTACGTGCTCAATACCTACGTGTGAGATGACAAAATGGATGATCACTGGTCTTATTCACTTTTTAAATTGTACTTGCAAAAATCTGCTTTGTAGTTTATTCCATAAATGTTCTTCACCTCATGTCATCTAGAGGTAGGCCTCTCGCGATCAGAGACCTGAGCCTGAGGTAAATAAACCAGCCAATGAAAGGCAGTAAAGAAAGCTTGTTGGTCACCAATAAATGAGGCTACTCATAGACTAGTAACTTGGCCAAGTATATCTACGGAAGAACATATGACTTTGACAAGCATTGGTTGGGTTTCTGACGCAAAGGTGCACCAGAAAACGTTACCCCACCGCGACTCGACAGAACGGGAACGTTATTAACTGGCGAACGGATCCATCTACATCGTAGTTCAGTGTCCCATGGCGTAGAGAGACTCCGAGACGTATCCCACATCAAATCGCAGTACCTCACGTTCTGACTGGAAAATGTACGTCATGAAAGTGCTAACAGCGACGGCTAAGTGGCTGACAATTTTAACTGTGCTTAAATCGATTTGTCAGTTTTCTGTTTGACTAGTCGCTGATGTGGCATTCACTCTTCGCGACACGGTGTCTGGTAAAGACATTTTAACTATATTGGCTATCAAGATGAAAGCGACGCGTAAACTGAATACGTTTGTATTCAATATCTAAGCACAATTAATTTGTTTTGGTAAATATCCGTGCAACTGCTAGTAAAAGATGAACATGTGTGGTTTATATTAGATCGATGTAGGCTTTGAAAAACTATCAGCATCTCCACCAAAATGCCAAAATGAGGGATACAGGGGACTGAGTGGTTTGGGATAATGGGGTTTGTGCTTCGACTGGAAATTGGAAAAAGTGAAAATTTTCGCATGCACGACTTCACTTGCTTAACTGTGGGCAAACTGAGCAGTAGAGTGGGTTTGCGCAGTTAGTGAACCTGACAGATGAGAAACACACGAATTATAAAAAGTTATAATGGTCTTGTTGCTTCTGCCCTGACAAATTTGAGAAATTCATCATAATCCAATGTTCCATTCTGGTTTGTATCGCACTGAGCAACCCATTCCACGATGCCCGCGGAAACCATTGGTATATCCAGACGATCGAATATGGACTTTATTTCTTCTGTCGTAATTTCGCCAGTTTTCGACTGGTCTAGTGCGTCAAACACCTTTCTCCAGCTGCGAAACGGAAAAAAGCGTTATTATTTTGAGTGGCAGAACGGTGAGTGGAATTCACGAACAAGGCTAACACTGGACACAACAAGAAACTTCCATGAGGAGAACCTAAACTGCGAGATGTCAGATCCATGGGGCTTTTGTGCCTAGCCTTCAAGAGTGTGTGTTTGTCCAAGACCAGCGAGTCAAGCCAGGTGTACATGGGATGGTCGCCTAACACTGGTCAAACTACCACGGCTCAGTTTGAAGCTCACAAGCATTATATATATATATATATATATATATATATA